GTGTGCGTGGCTTCTATGGGCAAATGGCCACCCTGCTAGCGACGAGAAGGCGCTTGACTTAGATCAACCTAACCAGGACGCGGCTTTGGCTTATCTACATACATTCCAACAGATCTATCGTCTTTACAAAGATCAGTTGAGTACGGGACACATTGAAAACGTCCTTCATCATCTCAGTTTGCTGGTGTGGAACTCGGTCTCCCCGCGCTACTCTCCAGATATCGATCGACCCTCGGCCTTGCAAGCGCTAGTCATTGATTGTGTCAAAACGCTCTGCCTGGAGAAAGAGGACTCCCAGCCGAATATTCTCTTGTGTCTTGCCGAATTATCCGATTCAGCATTATCCAAATGGAGCCCCGGCAGCGACACTCGAAGACCAGGATTCGTGGCCTTCTCGAAACGCACTATCGATCTTGTCAGCTGGTACATTGCCGAATTCGGCATCAAGCAAAACGTCTTCATGAATGGTGCTCTTGCAAAATCACTCGAACACCTCAGTACTCTAATTGCGGAAAAGTACACATGGCAAGGGAAGGATCGCGAGCCGTTCCTATGGCAAAAGGCCACAACAGTATCTCTGAACGTTCTGCAAGTCGCTGTCCCCTACGTGGAAAAGCAATACACGAAGGCAAACGAGTCCGAAACATCTCAGTTCTGGCAACATATTGTTAGCATTACAAACGGAATTGTTTCCGCCCGTGGCTTCCAAACCCAACAACTCCCCAACGCCCGAATCCTCACAGACGAAGCATTCGACATCAAAGCCTTCACCCGCCTGAAGACCCTCATCCTCCCATCCCTCGGCGCAGCAGCAATCCCGGACGCCGTCCGCCGCGATTTCGCCCGCGCTCTCTTCAACTCCTCCTTCATCTACGCTCCCCTCCGCTTCGACCTACCCACCGGCCTCGAAGACGCACCCCTACAGGACTTCTATACCGTCCGCCCCGGCCGCACCTTCGACCCACCGCCGACCCTGCGCCCGGGAATAGCCTATGTCCTTCTAGACACGCTCTTCGAGCTCGCCGCACACTCGCAAGCCGAGACCGAGACAAAAGCCGACGCTCCATCCCCGCAGACTCTGCTCGCCCGCTCGATCTCGCCCTATCTCCTTCTGCGCTGCGCGGTCTCGCTCAAGTCTTACATTGCAGACCAGCCTTTGCGTGGCTTGATGCCCCAACCCACGCCTGCCCGCAAGGCCCTGCTCCATCTGCTCGTCCGCATGGTCGAGCTGAAGAGTGAGCCGTCGGCTATCCCGGATCCGCCTTCGCTGAAGACCATCTCGGGTATCTCGGGTGAGGATCCGGAGGAGCATCACTATCGGAAGCATCTCGAGTGGATTTATCCGTTGGTTGTGCGCGCTGTGCAGGTTGCTGGCAAGGAGCGCGATGATGGGCAGATTCTCCAGGCGCTGGGGAAGGTGTTGCAGGAAATTGGTCGGTTTGAGTATTAGAGCTAATCTGGCTGGGTGTGTACCATGTAGGCGATTAATGCATTGTTTTATTTTATACTCTAGACTTCACATTCTCTCGGACCAACACATCAGAAGTGGTCACATTCTACAACCTGAATCTAAGATGAGGTTCGATTTGGAATGAGGCTTGGCACAAGTGTAGGCAGAGTAAGGTATACTACAAGGTGATATCGTGACATAGCCGTGAGACAGGATCAACGGACACAAAAGGAATAGTGAGTAGTAGAGTAAGGAAAAATCGAGATCAGAGACAAGAGGCGGGTATAGAAGAACAGATCCGCAGGTACCAAGAGACTGTAAGAAAGACGCGAGCGATAATGAGAATAGAATAGGATAGTCTATGCTGCTGGCGCGGGAACAGGCTGAGGCTCCTGCCGAAGCGACGGGGTGACTTCTCTGCCGGGCCCAGCGGTAGCAGAGCCCGGTGGAAGAGCGGGCTGCTGACGCTGTTGCTCGAGGAGCATCTGCTGTTGGATCTGCTGCTGCTGTGCGATCTGGGCGTTCGGGGCGATCTCGGGGGCTTGGCGGTAGAGCGCGATCTCGGACTGTTTGAAGTAGCGGCGGGCGTCTGTTGTTGGGTTAGTTTTGAGATTGGCATTGAGGTGTAGGCCAATGGTGTGTCAGGAATGGGAGGAGCGTATGGTAAATTGTATCGGTGGGGTTGCCAGGACCAGAAGTGGTTTAGCGTGGGGGTATCGGGTTTTGAGGGGCAAATCGGCAACAAAATTGACGCAACTCGGGCCGACTTGGATAGTTGTATTGGGTAACTTCAATTGCCGACGGCTATTGCATTCCGTCTCTACACCCCGCATTCTGGGATGCGTCATGGACTGATTTGAGGATTGCCAAGAACGGGGGAAAGAAGGAAGAAAGAATAGCTAATTAGAGCGTACCTTCGTCGATCAGTACGAGACTGAGATAGTACCTTGTCGAGTACTTCTTGTTAACGTCGCGGAATGTCGGCGTCAAGTCAAATCCACCAAGGAATAGACGGATTGGAATAGTTTCACCTGTGGAAAGTTAGTCATGCTCAAGATTACCCCAAACTTCCCAACTCTCGCGGGAATAATAAAGCTGCAGAGTGGTGGCCGTGGCCAGGCCCAGATATTTCAGGGGTGTTCACTAACCTCTCGATGGAGAGCCGTCCATAATCTGCACTCATGTTAGCATTCTTATGGCTCGTATTTAATAGCCGATATCACTTCGAGTACGTTCAACAAATCACATACCTCAAAGCGCACCAATGTCTCACTCTCATTATATTGGTTTGGCGGGGATCCAGTTGTCTCTCGCCGAATGATAGACAATTCCATATGCTTGATCTTGAGCCGCACGAGCAAGAAATAGATACGGCCGACAATCACATCCTTGAGATGATACTTGGATTTGGAGTATTCGAATTCGATATGCAGGCAGTCCTCAATACCGACGTCCATCTTGATAGGGCTGTTGTTCTCAGGTGGCATGCGGTACGAGTACACCCACAAGTCCTTCTCCCGAATGACGTCCGCCATGCGCCGTGAGACAGTCACCCGGACAAAGTAGCGCAGCTTCACGTTGATGCCATTGTAAGACTCGTATTGCTTTTCGACGTTCTTGAAATTGAAGGGGAAGGTCTGCGGGTGGAGGAGCTCGCCGGGCGCAGCGAGTTCTTGGACCAGGGAAAGGAATTCATAGTGGTTGCCTCGGTCGTAGAACATCTCTGTATTCCAAATGGAAAGGTGTTAGCGTTCAGCCTGCGATGGCGAATTCAGGAGGGGCTGGTAGGTTCGACGCACCAATCGTGCCAATAAATTGGACCTTGATCCCCGTGTGTTCCAGTCGCTTGCCATCCTTCGGTCTGATAGTCACGGCACCCTTGACGGACTCGCCGTCCATGTACAGAGGGACCCGCTCGCGGCGGCCTTTGTCCAGCTTGACATCGACGGTCTGGCGCTCATCGAGATCTTCGAGGATCACATCGATGTCGACCGGGGTGGAGAAGAAGAGTGAAGCCATGGTGGAGGTAATTGAGGCTGCAGCTATCGAGGCCCGAACCAATAAGTCGGAGCTTTGATGATCTGGAGCTTGTCGCGGTGGCCTGGAGGTAGCTTACGTAATACCGCCTCCCCGCGCCGCCCCCATGAACTGATATTCGACATGTTTTTGTATAGAACTGGTGATTGGAGTATAAGATTTGAATGAATACCTATATACGATATTTGATACTCTTTTAATCTCGAGCTCCACTTGATCTCCCCGGGTCTACTTCTGGACCTGACTACCAAAGGTTATACCACTGATCTACAACTGTCCGTTGTAACTTGGACTCTTCAGGCATGTCAGATCCACTGGCCTCCCAACATTCCCATTTCCCATTCCCACCGATTGGACCTGAAGCGGTCTTCGCTGTCTTTTGAACATCCAAGCACACAACTTAGCCATACGGATCAGAACAGCACACCTTCTAAGCCACGTTGAATAAGCAGGAGATCGGATATGTCGGAATCCGCTTCCCGTCAGTCAGCTTGCTCTCATGACCATAGACAAAACAATCGGAAAATCAGTGATAGCCAAGCAAGGATCCGACTCGTTGACCCCGCCGGAAGCTGCATGCCTTCTTCCCCGGATTCTGAGGGAAAGGAATGGCCTGGTCATGCTTACCGGGCATACCAAGCTTACCTGGGTATAGTCGGTGTGACTGTTGGAATCACCATGCATATTATTTGCTCATGTTTTCGTGTCCTATCGGACGAGGATATATTCTCCGGAATGTCTCCCCTGTGTTCCACGGGATTGAGAATCGGCAATCCGTGTATGATCTTTCAAGATCGGGTGGATCTGCGAATCTGGAAGAATGTGGGGGGCCGTTTCTCTGTCGATTTACTGTCGACTTCCTGTCGACTTATAGGAAGCGAGAGATAAAGAATCTTGAAATGACGCAGGTACGGAATCTTAGCGAGAAGGCAAAGTTCCACCCAAAGTCAGAGAGGAGTAGAAACTCGATAGGAGAAGAACTATCCAATCTGGCGGCTTTCTAGCGTGGGGGTGAGTTACTGTAATACCAATACCGAATACCGTGACATCATGATATTTAGGTGTTTGATGGTGTAGTCAATTGATAGTTATAGCGAAGTATAAGCAGAGAAGACATAATCTTACATTCTAGAAGCAATGGCTATTCGCTTTTGGATATAGTCAGAAGAAGACACCCCAATTAGCCTAATATCCCTCATGTCCTATCCCTATACTATCCCTATTCTCCCCCTATCCTGAACCCCAAATATAAAGGACCAATAACCGTACGAATGTCGTCTCCCCCACTCGGCTTCTGCTTGAATCTTTTCTTACCCGACCCACCGTGATACAATATAAGTACTTAGAACAGGCTCTTTGATTTCTGAAATTTTATTTCAGATCTGAAAGACCTGTTATAGAACACTTTTCTCGGGTATCACTACAGCGTCATATCTCCACCTCGACCCAAGTTATTACACTGGAAATCCAAATACATCCCTAAAACGAACAGCACTTTCCTTTCCTCTACAACATGCTCTCCGCAGGAGAACGACCACAGCCTCCCCAAGCTCCCGCCATAGTAGATTCCACCGCAAGCAAGGCGCGCATCATGCCGGACCTCGCCAACGGCACCAACGGAACCAACGGAGTGACGTCCACTACGCCCTCCAAACCCGCGAAACAGCAACATATCTGGGTCGTGACCGGTCCAGCAGGGTGCGGAAAAAGCACCGTGGGCAACGTCCTACGCAAGGAGCTTGGTATTCCATTTCTAGAAGGCGACGACGTAAGTACCCAAGTACCTGAATGCACCACACCCTACACTCCACACACCCCCAAACCACCCAATTGCGCCCAAACCCAACAATCACCCAAGTATACACAAATAACTAACACAACCCTCAGTACCACCCCGCAGCCAACAAAGAAAAAATGGGCGAAGGCATCCCACTCACAGACGAAGACCGCTGGGACTGGCTGATCTCCCTGCGCCAAGCCGCAATCGACGTGCTCTCCCCTTCGAAAGCCAACAACTTCCACCCACCCGACGGCGTGGTAGTAGCGTGCTCCGCGCTGAAGCAGAAGTACCGGGATGTGATGCGCGTTGCTGCGTACGGCTCGCCCTCGGTGCATATTCACTTCATCTACCTCAAGCTCAAGGAGGATGTGCTGATGGAGCGCGTCGCCCATCGCGAATCACACTACATGAAGAGTGGTATGGTACACTCGCAGCTGGCGGTTCTTGAGGAGCCCAAGGACGAGTGGGATGCTATTACTATCAATGTTGAGGGCACGATGGAGGAGGTGCAGCAGAATGTTATTCATGCTGTTACTGATAAGCTTGCTGAGTATAAATGATTGTTTCTCTCTCTCTCCCTCTCCCCCTCTCTCTATCGTTGGATTGAAGGGAGTGAATTCATTTGTGTACTTGGTGGTTCGTGCGAAAATGGGTATGATCTATGCATGGAGGATTTAGCATTCTGTTTCTGTCGATTTTTGTGCCTCCACAATGGTGTTTGGTGTTTTGGCCGGCTTGGCTATGTCACCGGTCTGTTTTAGATCTGGAGTTCTTGATGAAGCTCGCATCTCGGGTTTTTATTTCCTGCTGTTTGATATATCAATTGTCTGCTTGGCAGGCTTCGTGATATCCTTTGATCAATTGATCTGTCTTTATCTTTTACATCTCAGTGTCTCTATACAATGTACTAAGAAGCTCAATCTATAAGTATTGAAGCCAGCAACTAGATAAACCAAGTATGCAGTGTCTTTAGATATACCCGTAATTTGTTATTATTTAGATATAACGAACTACTTTGTCAAGGCTCGTCTAATTCACCTGAGATTTAGAAGCATAAGCTCGGGCGACTCAACCAGGTCCTTAACCCTGTTACCCATTTTGGCCATTGTCGCACCGTCAATGACGCGGTGATCCGCGCTCCAACTGAAGTTAACCATATCTCCGCGTGTCACCTGTCCATCGTCATCAAAGATGGGCACAGCTCTAGTCCTACCCACGCCGAGAATAGCCACCTCCGTTGGCACAAGCACCGGAGCTACGTATGTGCCTCCAATATTGCCGATGTTCGACACGGTGATCGTGCCACCACTGAGATCAGCGGGGGTCAGCTTTCCGCTCTTCCCAAGGGCACTCAGCCGCGCGATCTCAGCAGCAATGTCGAAGATCGAGCGACTGGCGACGTCCTTGATATTCGGAACAATCAGACCATTCGGTGTATCCATAGCAATTCCGATATTGTGCTTGGAGCGCATGACTAGCTTCGGCTTTGCGGGGTCCGTGGTATCGACTTTGGAGTTGAGAATTGGGAACTCGGTCAGAGCCTGTGAGACGGCCTTGACGACGAAAGGGAGGAAGGTGATTTTGGTAGGATCGTGTTTGTCAAAGGCAATTTTCTTGCGGATGGCATTGATGTCGTTGATTTTGAGTTCGTCTGCGTAAAGGAAGTGTGGAATGTTCAGGGATTTGGTCATTGTTTTGAACATCTGTGATTGGATCGGAGTCAGGTTGACAATTGACTCTGCTTGCCGTGTGTCCGGTGACACGGAGACTGAGGTGGGCACTGATGTTGGAAGCGCTGGAGAATCTCTCTCTGCTACAAACTTCAGTACATCTTCTTTCATCACCCGCCCGTCTTTTCCGGTTCCGTTGATTTCGAGGATGTTCACGCCGTGGCTTTTCAATAGCCCACGTACTGCGGGAACTGCAAGGGATGCATGCTTCGTTTTGGGTATCTCATCAAGAGCTTTGATAGGGGGAGGGGTTATTAGAGAGGATTCGACTGCTTGAGTTGCAGCTTGGATCTCAGAAGCCGGGGTAGGTTCAGACGGCGCTGCCCTTGATTCGTGCGCCGGGTTATCATCGGGGTATTTTCCATCCGCAACCTCGATGTCGCAGAGTGCCTATCGAAGCCTGTTAGTACGTTGACTGCAGTCTGACTTTCAGACAAGCAAGAGTGAAGGTAGTACATACCCTTCCCGTAGGTACTGTATCGTCTGTCTCGAAGTGTAGTTTCTTGATTACACCCTCATATCTCGATGTAATCTGGGTTTGTTAGTCGTTAACCCATAGCAGGGAACAAAGGAGGCAGCACCCACATCATCGACAGCTTTATCCGACTGGTATTGGCACAAAGGTTTCCATTCCTCAATATGAGCCCCTTCTTCTACGTACCACTGGATGATCTGGACCTCAGTGATGCCTGGTAATTGTAAGTGAACAAATTGAGGAATGAGTTAGGATTATGAATAAATTACCCTCGCCGACGTCCTTGAGAACTTGTGATTTGATCTGCCATAGCAGAGAGCTGGCATGGAATTTTCGGGACAAGAGCGGAGGTAGGGTGGAGCGAATGCGGAGGTGATTCTGGGGTAGACAAGGTCTGAAGTTGCGGGCAGCAAGTCCCCCACTGCGGCTGAAACCCATTGTAAAAATGGAACGTGGTAGAGACAGATTCAAGAGAAGTTTTCTGAAATTCCTGAAGAGAAAAGGAGCATTGTGTCTATTTTATTTGGCATTCGACACTCGATTGTTCTGCCCGCACGCCGACGCTAACCGACGCTACCCACGTGATCTCCCCGCATCTATGCAAGTATGGGGGGAGTATGGCATTGGCGTTATCTCATTTCTTTGTATCTTTTCAAATTGCTAGACAACTCTTGTTGCTTGGCTCTATTGTGAAGTACCAACTCGGAATTGTCAAGCAAGTGAATATCACTCAGGTTACATATGGACAGCTAGGCAGTATAAGACGAAGTAGACCAAGCAATCTACCCCAGAAGGCAATTATATACGATTAGTAGAGAGATTTGGAGTAAATCCATATGGTACAAATGATGGAATTCAGTCTATTTGACTATAGTTAGGTATAGTAAGCCAAAATCCTCCCTGGATGGCTGAGTGGGTGAGAGACACGAGGTCATCTGTTTGCTGGGTGAAACATTGATCACGGGTGATACCGCATTGGGAAACTCAGCAATGGTGAAACTGGTCAGGGTTTCGATCCTCGCCAGGAGTAGTTGGGGTACGGATTCTTTTTATATTTTTCTTCTTTCCTTGTGGTCGACAGACCAGCCCAATACGAGGGTAGCACCTTCCCCATAGGGCACCTTCCAATGTCCTTACTTGATATATTGACATATTGGTTTAGGTATCCATGGGCAATGATGCAGGTGATGCTATCTCCGAGATCCACTGCTGTCTATCTCATGCAGGTACGGACATTGGGAGTTCCACCGCAGCTTTCAGACTCCACCGAGGTTACCACCCTACCCAAAATTGAGCTTGGAGAAATATAAGATTGCTAACACTGCTATTTGGTTTCCAGGCCATGCTTGGCGGGAAAACACAAGGGTGTACCTAGGGAACTGGGTGTCTATCACGATTGCAATGATTCAACTTGCCCTGTGAGTCACCCAGATCTGGGGTCGGGTCTCAGCCACAAGCACGCTCATTCGTAATACTCTACTACCGGAAGTTCTACTTCTGCAATAAACAAGGATATCTCGGAGCTTGCCTGACTTATGTCCGCGTGTCAAATGTGGAGACGACATCAAGATGATCGTCACAACCTTAACTCAATGCAGAATCCGAGGCCGACGCTGCAAGGTCCGAAATTCACTAGACCAGACACCGAGGCAGTCAACGTGGTACGTTTATTGCATGAAACGTTTAATTAGTTAATAGGTACGTACGTCAATTGTGCCGATCAAGATGATTACCTAGGTATAAGAACATCGTCGGTCCCTCAACTCCTAGTCTTGTGCTTCGAAATTCCAATTGCTTCAATCTTCTGTTTTGCGGTGATCCCATTATGGCTCTCCTGACCAAGACTCTGGTCTCACTGGCCTTGGGTGCTGCTGTTGCCCAAGCTCAGCTTTGGGACAAGGTCATCCAAACCTCCTACGGTCCCGTCGAAGGGTTCCAGTACTTCAACCAGTCCACCCTAGATAAGTACTTCGATGGCGCCGAGTCCAACGTCGCCGCTTTCTTGGGTATTCCTTTCGCTGCCGATACGGGATATCAGAACCGGTGGAAGGCACCGCAGCCCCGCGAGTCATGGAACAAGACCTTGAAGGCTACGGACTTTGGCCCTGCCTGTCCTAGTAACTCGGCTTCCAATATTAGCGAAGACTGTCTCAGTCTCAACATATGGACCAACGCGGAGACCGCTGATGCCAAGCTTCCTGTCATGGTCTGGAACCAAGGTTCCGACGAAACCAGCAACAATGCGTGGTACTACGGTGGAGGCATGGCCTTGAAGAATGTCATTCTCATCACCTTCAACCGCCGTGACGATGCATTCGGCTATCTTGCTGCCCCTGAGCTCAATGAAGAGGGCTACAAGCTCACTGGCCACAAGACCTCTGGTAACTATGGTATCTTGGATCAATTGGAAGTTCTCAAATGGGTGCAGAAGAATATTGCCAAATTTGGTGGTGATCCTGACCGCGTCACTCTTGCTGGTCAATCTTTCGGCTCTTCTCAGGTCTATCATGCAGTCAATAGCCCTCTCTTCACAGGCTACTTCCATGGTGGTATCTCCCAGTCCGGGATCAGATACCCCTACGATACCATGCTGGCTGGCCTCGCCACCTCATACGTCAACATGTCTACGGCTATCTCCAATAGCGCTAGCTACATCAAGGCTCACAACGTTTCTACAATTGAGGAGATGCGCACGCTCTCCATGGAGAGCTTGTTGGTTGGTTCTTCGGACCGCGTTACCAACAGCTCCATTTGGTGGGTCACCGCACTCTCCGCCGGTTATCCTCTGATCTTCAAGCCCGTTCTAGACGACTACGTGCTCCCATCCAAGTACATTGAAACCCTTATCAATGGCCCTGCCAACGATGTCCCCGTGATCACTGGTAATACCAAGGATGAATCTGGTGCCTCTCCCAGTACCGACTATACTGTTGCCGAGTACGAGTACTACTGCGGACTCAAGTACGGAAACCTATCTAGCAAATACTTCAAGCTCTACCCAGACCACAACAACGGTACCATTGCCTCTCGGGCCTGGAACGCTGCTGCCCGTGATCTCTCTCTTATCGGCTCTTGGGCCTACGCCACTGCCTGGTACAAGTCTGCCACTGCGAACTTCTACACCTACTACTGGACCCATGCTCCCCCAAGCCAGGACCAAGGTGCCTTCCACCAATCTGAGATCATGTATGCGCTCGGGGCTCTGTACGCCAATTCCGATACGTACGCTTTCACCGAGATCGACTTCGAGATCCAGGAGAAGATGTCGTCCTACTGGGCCAATTTTGCGAAGACTCTCAACCCCAACAATGGTGGCTCCTACAATGGTAGCAAATCGTTGCCGCATTGGAGCCCCAACAGTGCCGAGGGTACCCGGGTTGTCATGGAACTCGGTAACCAGTTCGAAAATGTGCCTATTGCGAAGCCAAAGCAGGTGGAGTTCATGATGGACTACTTCCACCAGCAGGTTCCCTACTAGAGAGTCTCCCTTTAGAGTGACAAGCTCTCTAGCAAACATTAGCCCAATGGTTCAATGAATACCTACATTTACGTATGTAGATATGTAGTCTATGTACACTATGTTTATTGATGAAGCTAGATCCACGGTATGCGTACACCGTACCAAGGTTATTAAGTCAATGACCTCAATCAGAATAACCCGGAGAATATTGGCAATATTGAACCTTCCTCTCATTGTATACGATCCCAGACATAATGGCTTCAATCCAGGTAAATGAAATAAGTGCGTACAACATATAATTGTGCGGAGTAAGCCTAGGTATTTCCTAGGTAACTAACTGAAGTACCATATTCATGGAAGATGCCATAGATGTTCATGTCCTGTCCGCATTAGCTAGAGCCCCTTGAGGGCCATAATAATACTCACGTAAGAACGATAAACGCAAGACCTAACATAGACACGAAGCCAAGCTTCTTTTTCAGCTCCCCTTGGTGACCAGATGGGTTGTCCGAGAAGGAATTTTGGAAAATACTTTGTGATTCCATGACCTCCTATTCTGTGATAGCTCTTGACCACAATACAAAGGCAGAGAGATCGTCTGCAACAATATTTACAAGAGAGATTCATTCCAAGAGAGATTCCTTGAGCAAGTAACGGCTCTTGATTTTGGGCCGAGTTATGAGATATTGCCACCGGGTCAATAGCCTATTCCTCAAATGATAAACCAGGCGTGACTTCAAGCACCCTTGGTTGCGATATGCTTTAGTTTGATCCCAGCACCTTGGGGCAGGCGAACTGCTGGGACCAACCAGGACGGTTTACAAGGTATCCATCCATGCCTCCTTTTGGTGTGTGTTTGTGGTGTACATAACGCTAGGCCGTAGTTAGTTTGACTCGGCCCAAGAAAATTACGAAATAGGACTGCTTTTGTCAATCTCCACTCCAAGATTCTCCATCATTAGAACAACCAAAGCAAAAACAGGGGGAGTAAATTACCGAGAGCAGAGATAACCGAATTTCGGCGAAGCAAGCGATAGTGGATTCGACCCACCCTAGAGATAGGAGTTATCTCGCGGAGAATTGCTCACCCCCGCATAGAACTTCTACTCCCGAGGTTGTCGAATTCGCCATGGTATACTTTGAACGCGCTATCTTGTACTGTGAGGATCATTGATGCTACTCTCATAGATTACCCGTGTGACACACAGCTTTGATGTCTCCTCGACGTCCCTGGTCTAAATCGGAAGACGAAAAATTGATCAAGCTCATCGGGCAGTTTGGGGACCAACGGGGCAGAAACAGCAAATGGCAAGAGATCTCCAGAAATTTACCCGGGAGAACGAATAAGGTAGGTCCTCTTCTTTTATGCATCGGGCTGGCGTGCCAGAGCATCGCTGATATCACCATATTCACAAGGATTGTCGGAAGCGTTGGTTTCATTCTTTAGATCCTTCTCTTCGCAAAGGACGCTGGACAAAGGATGAAGATAGGCTCTTGCTTGATGCCTATCAACGAATTGGGCCTGCTTGGAAGGATATAGGTAAGTTTTTTTCTATCCAATACTCTTACATGTCCGGCGGCTAAGTGTACCTCTAGCACTTCTCATCAAAGGACGAAAGGATGATCAATGTGCGAAAAGATACAATGACATCCTTAATCCACAAGTGCAAAATCGTCTCAAAGTCTGGACACCCGAGGAAGATCAATATTTGGCGGCCAAAGTGAAACAACTGGGTCATAAATGGACTGTCATTGCAGCAGGCCTACCTGGTCGTCCTCCGCTGACCTGCCGGAATCGATGGAGAAAACTGGCCAGAAATATCTGTAGTGACATTGGTTTCTCTCAGGAAAATTCGCCAATGCCCCAATCCTCTACGGAGAATTCAAGGACTTCGCCGTCGTCTCAGAACTCCGAGATCTTCATTTCGTCTCCTGACGCATCGTCTGACCCCACCACTATCGACCTCCTAGATGCCTCTCTGGCATCTACCGCTCTGCCTTCTGATTCTTCCCCTTTGGATGTCATGTCATATCATCAATTCCGTGATCGTTGGAATCTCCTATACGGACTGGCCAGCGCACCAGGCAAGCGCTAAAGCTGGAACAGCATTCATGTTCCTTTTCATGTTCTTTTTTGAAACCTCCTGGGGTCCCATTGCCTGGGGCCTTCCAAGTGAGATCCTTCCATCTATCGTCCGCGCTGAGGGAATGGCACTCAGTACGGCATCTAACTGGTTGAGCAACTTTGTCGTCGGGCTTATAGTACCATCTTTGGTCGCTGCCGCCCCCTACGGATCGTTCGCACTCTTCTCCTGCACTTCTCTGTGTGCTTTGATCTGGGTGTTCTTCTTTGTACCCGAGACAAAGGGAACAAGCTTGGAGGGCCTAAGTCTTCTATTCAAGAACAATGTTTATGAAGAGGAAGCAGCTCAACGAAACGAACTCATATCAGAATTGATCCGAACGCATGCTCCCCTGGGACAATCTGAAAAGTAATAGGTCATTTTGTCCAAACAAGTCATGGCAAGCGTTGATTTATGACTCCCACAGTTCCACAGTAGGGAAATCTAGTTATCACAACTGTCTGTATGATGGCCCGTCATGTGACTCTACAGATCGTTTGCTTATTTGCTTGTTTACTTGCTAATCTGCTTGCTCTTCGTTTGCTATTTTTTTATTACGGAGCGAAGCGAAGCAATTATATATTTTCTCCAAGAATGTTACCATTGCTTTGTATATCTTCTTTACAGACCGCTTATGTGACTTTTATGTATCCATTTTGCTTCCTAATTGTGCCCAACCAAGTTGTCAATTTTGGACCGTTGTTAGTTCAGTGAGCAAAAGATCTTGAGTGAAAATCGTGGCAACGTTATTCCACAAGCTACCGAGTGGCCTCCTCTATCCAAAACGCATCCAGGAATTAGCATTTAGTCAATTCAACCACCCACCATGCCACCAATACGCCCCCGAAGCTCTAGAAATCCAATAGAGCAAGATGGTAGGATCTTATTAGCCATATAGGCTTTTAAGAATCAAGAAATATCCTCAATTTGTCAAGTGGCGCGCCATTTTGCTATACCCCGTACACCTTTCCTGGCTTTGGACCTCCGCATGGGTCCCTACCCTGGAACCTCCAACCGCCCATTAAACTCTAGAGGTTCGGTAAGGTTCAACCTCGGAGGCGAAACAACCAGGATCGACCGCCAAATTGATGACGCTGGCCTTTCGTTAAGGGGACAATGGTCAAGAGTTCTGGTGAACAACTACATTTGGATGGGGCTAGCGTGGTGCATTTTATTGAGGTGAGCTGCTGACTTAGCTGCTCCCCGCGCTTTGCTCCAGTGAGCACCTGAGCAATTCAGAGCGCTCAGATGATGCCCAGTGAGCGAGCCTGCTGAGTATGGAACACTCAGGAGCGTGCTCAGCTGTACCCAGTGAGCAAAAAGCGGCAAGGTCTGAGCACTATAACGGAAAGAGAAAGCCAAGAAGTGGCAGAGGAAATCAAGGCGCGACACTAATTGCCTAGATCGTACATCGCACATCGTACTCCGCACAGATCTTGGAAATCTCCGCTTTGTCTTACGATCGAGATGTCCTCGCGAATCAGCCTTATGTGCCAAGAACAAGGGCTCCCCTATCGGAGACCATCCGCTGATCCCTAGTCGAGGGGTAACCCACTCCAGTCTCAGCTCTTCAGGCAGCCAATTTCGATCCATATCGAGACGAATCCTTTGCACAGGGACTTGCGCTGATACCAATTTCATCTCTGCCAATTGCCACTTCACCATGGTTGCCGAGTACCTCACTATCCGCAACAACACCTCCACTCCACTTGTCCTGAAGCGCATTGAGCGCTTCCAGGCACCGGAGAAAGTTGCGTTCTATGCCTTCAGTACAATGGCCAGAAACGTCACCCAGGTCTTGACCAACCAAACCCGCAGCCTTGAGGTCTCCCCAATCGAACAGGACAGCCGTCCCTTCGAGGAAAAGAATGTTGACATTAAACTGGAGCAATTCGCACTGAAGAAGACCGAGCTACGCGCCTTTGTCAACTCCGAAAAGGAGCGCATGCGTCTACTCTTCGAAGTCGAAGGCCACAAATACCAAATCCAAGTCCCGGTACCAACAAAAGAGTCCGCAGAAATGAAAGCGCTAAGCGAGAACCCCAAACACCGCTTTACCGGCGTTTCCGTGGCCCCAGAATCCTTATTGGCAATATTCTCGTCCGCAAACCTGAACGCCTGGATGCGCGAGCTCCGCGACGACATCCTCGTCTCTGCGCTCTCAATCCCAGGCACGCACAACTCACCCACATGTTACATCGCGCCGCCCTCGGTGCGCTGCCAGGCTGTGAGCCCGAAAGAGCAACTCGAGAACGGCGTGCGATTCTTCGACATCCGCGTGCAGCCGCAGTACCCGGATGACGCGGCGCGCGACGAGCTGATTCTCGTACACAGTGTGTTCCCCGTCTCGCTGACGGGAAACAAGTACTTCCGCGACCTGATGCGTGAAGTCGACGGGTTCCTCGAACGCAACCCGTCCGAGACGCTGATCGTCTCCGTTAAGCGGGAGGGAACCGGTAACGCGACTGACGAGCATGTGTCGCGCATCCTGCACGACCACTACGCTAAGGCAGGCAGTCGGTGGTGGGTGGGGCCCAAGATCCCGACGCTGGGTGAGGCGCGTGGTAAGGTGATTCTTATGCGTCGGTTTGGATTGCAGCAGAAGCTGAAGGACGCGCACGGTGGGCATGGTTGGGGTATTGATGCTGCTGAGTGGGAGGACAATACCCCCAACGCTAAGTGCCCCAGTGGCCAGCTCTGCATCCAGGATTTCTACGAGGTGCTGGAGAGTATGAATATCGAGCAAAAGATTAAGTTCGTCGCAGAGCAGATTGATCGGGCTAGCTGCTGTCGCTATCCGTTTGGCGTTCAGCCTGATATGCATGCGACAAAGGCATTCCCCTTTTACGTCAATTTTTTGAGTGCCAGTAACTTCTGGAAGACGAATACTTGGCCCGAGAAGATTGCTGCTAAGGTCAACCCAGCTACCGTGCATTATATCTGTCGCCGAGGTAAAGAGCATGATGCCGACTGTTCGACGGGTATTCTTGTTACGGACTGGGTTGGTTTGAATGGAGATTGGGATCTTGTGCGCTGCGTTGTGGGCATGAATGCCAAACTGCGTTTGAGACAGGATTAGATGATAAACATCGTTTACATACATCCGGAGGTTAGGAGGAAATTTGTCTTTTAGGCGCGGCATGCAGGGAATGCAATGATTCATGGGTTAAACAGAGAATATGATGCACTAAAGTTGATTTCTTACAAGTATACATTGATCCTGAAGTAGGAAGCGGGGGTCTTGACGAAACGCAGAATATCATCTATTATACAGGAAAATGAATCAGAATGACCATGACCAGATTAGGACGATTCGCTCTTGTCGCCCTCCGGTCCCTTCTGCTCTTCTTCCAACACACTCCGGCGGCTCTCCAAGGTAAAGTAGATGCTCTTGCCGGCTCCCTCCAAAGTAGTTGCAACGCTAGAGCTCATGCTCTGCAAGGCCATGACAAGCTGGGAGCGGAGACCGTCCATGCCACCCTCGATGCTGCCGACCCACTTGGTCTGATCGATATCAAACACCTGGTTGTCCACACGGGCAGCCAGCAAGTTAATCTTGCTGAGACCGTTCTGAACAATGGGCTCGTGGTATTCCGGGTTCGCCTTGCGGGTAGGGGCCTTGAAGCCGGATTCCTTGGGTGCGAGGATTGACAGCGCCGCCTTCATGTGTTCAGGCGAGACGCTAGGAATGGAAAGGATAGCAACAGGGCCGACGAGCAGAGGAGAAAGCTCGTGCATGCCCTTCATGTTTTTCACCGCCTCGTAGGCAGTGCGAGACAAGTCGTGTGTCAAGGCCGGGTCGTCCTTTGAGCCGGAGAGCGCAGGGATCTCGGCAGAGGTTTGTGTCACGGGGTCAACTGCACTTGGGGGGTTTCCTGCACCCAGAGAAGCCTCGCTGGGTCGGAAGTACTCGACAATTCGCAGAGCCGCCTCAAAGATGCTGGTCTGGATAGTCTGGATCTTAATGTAAGGAGCGAGGGCAGGCGCTGTCCGGCCTTCGGCGGCAATCTTCTCATCCACTTTTTGCAGGGCAAGGGTTAGTTCTCGTCGGATGGCGGCCCATTCCATGGACTTGAGGTTGTTGTGTTGGAACAGCACAATGAGAGGAGATGTGCGGAGAAGGGAGGTGTACGACCGTAGGAGCTGCGACCGGCGGTATTCGGGATTGCGGTGCGACGGTGGCTGAGTAGGAGGGAACCTTGATACAGGAGCTGGTGAGCGTGTCATCTGCTCAATTGAAGCAGCTGGCGTGAATGCTGGGGCCGCAGCACTGGATGCGCTCCTGATAATTCGGAGTTCATATTGGCATCGAGGGATTTGTTGAAGCGACGAGATTCTTAACCGAGGCGGCATTGTGATTGTTTTAGGTGGTGAATTTACCAATGCCCAGGAAATTCAAGAAGTTGATATACACAGGTCAAGATAGGTCGAGACAAGCCCCGGGAAATGATATTTTTAGGGTCCCAAAAGGGTAAAGCGCTTCGGAGGCGGTGATGTATATTGCCGCCTATATCGGGCTCTCATTGAGTCACTTGTTATGATCTTGCAGGTATCTTTTTAAGCTTGTGGAACCTCATTGGGATTGCTAGGCCACTGTAAACATACAGTCGCTTACAAAGATTTCAAGTATGGCGACATCTACATCCTCTTCTTCTCAGCGGCCGGAGTCCATTTCGATCGCCCCGCTCCTCCAGCGACTCGCCTACCCCGCCGCTGCCGGTATTCGAGTCAGCGCACAAGATCTCCCAGCTGTGAGTGCAGAGGAGATTGCTTCTGCCTTTGCACTAATCTTCGAGGACCGGCTATCTCAAATTCAAACCGCTGCCCTCCTCACATTGCTCCACTCAACCGGCAAGGATAGACAGGCAGATGTGATTGCGAAATGTTCTCAATGCATGCGCGAGGCTGCTTGCCAAGTTGAGAAAGGTCCGCTTACGAAGATTATCAAGTCTCGTAATCTGAAAGCAGGAAATTACCAGGGTGGATTGGTATGCGCATATGCACACTCCGTCCATTTTGTCATTGAGGTATATTGACAGACCGCGATGTATAGTGTGATATTGTTGGAACTGGAGGAGATTCTCACTCAACCTTTAACATTTCCACGACCTCCTCAATAGTTGCGTCTCCTCTTCTCATGACAGCTAAACATGGCAACCGCGCTCAAACATCGACCTCCGGGGCCGCCGATGTCCTCAACGCCATCCAGCCATTGGCACCCAAGATCGCAGCCATCACCGCTGACAACCTGGCCCAGGTCTACGAGAAAACCAACTACTCGTTCTTGTTTGCTCCGAATTTCCACCCGGGCATGATGCATTCCAACCCTGTCCGCAGGGCTCTCGGTCTCCGAACGATTTTCAACCTGATGGGCCCTTTGGCAAACCCCGTTGACTGGGCACTGGAAGCGCGCGTAGTTGGTGTGGCATACCAGAGCCTTGGCCCGGTATTTGCCGAGGCCTTCAAACAAAGTGGAGCGAAGAAAGCCATGATTGTTTGCGGTGCAGAGGACATGGACGAAATCAGCTGCGCTGGAAAGACAAACTGCTGGAGGCTCTCTGAGTACTCGAACCCTGCATACAAAGCATCAGAAGACGATGCAGATGACTCGAGTGATGATGATACCGAAAATCCTCGTACACTCGTCAAGATCGACACCTTCCAGCTTCAGCCATCGGACTTTGGCCTCTCTACTCATCCCCTCAGTGATGTGGGCGGAGGTAAAATGCCCAAGCAAAACGCGGAAAAGCTGATGAGCATACTTCGAAATGAGCTTCCACGGGATGACCCCATCTTGGAGTTTGTCCTCATGAATGTTGCTGGTCTGCTTGTCACCTCGGGAATTTGCGAGGCAGATACCAGCAACATGGGACCTGGCGATGATGGTCAGGTCATCACCGAGCGTGGCCCTGCCGGTGGCCGCTGGAAAGAAGGCGTGCGTCGCGCACGCTGGGCAATCGAGAGCGGGCAGTCTCTGAAGCATTTGGAGCAATTCATTGAAGTAACTAACCAGCTCTGAAGTAGGATTTTGTGAAACTTAGGTAGTTGTAGGCTTGGATTTAGTATGCCTTTTCGGGTCTAAGAAGCTTTCGGATTTGGGGTATGCAATTGTTTCACCTGTTCTGATGGGTGAGCTGAATGTACCTAGATATTTCGGGTCTATGAGTGAATGTCATTGAATCTCTGAAAGCAGATATGATTGGTTTTTTTTTAGAAAAAAGAGCTTAAGCCTGTCCTCCATACACTAGAGGACATGGCCAGAATATAGTATCTGTTTTGTACACTGGGACCATAGAAAAAACCAGTTTGTGTCATTCAACACCAAAGCGCCATTGTATGCATAATTCGTCAAAAGATAAAGATGTCAAAACCAGAGGATCTCAGGTCGATTCCGCCTGGGCCATCGCAACCTCCGAACGTCTGGTTCCTGTCTTAATAGACAAAACGTCTACCGAGCCTGGAACTGGACCATACTATTGAGAGAAAGAAAAAAGAAGTCAGCCTGGGCCTCGCGCATATCGCATGATAATTCCCAGGAAAGAGAATCTTACCGCTTGGTCCGCTCTTTGTACAGCACACGGTGACCGCAGTCCTTGCAGCGGATCTGGTCGCCGCGCTTGAGAGGAACACGGGCAGAGCACTCGCCGCACAGGTAGGTAACTGAGGGGCTGTCGATGGCCATGGCACTGCCAAAACCTCCGGCTTGGGTGTCGAAGTTGTTCTGGGTGCCCATCGCGGGGACCTGGTAAGTTTCGCGAGACATCGTTTGAGATTGAGAGTGGCGTAGTAGTAAAGTAATTATTTTGCGCGCGAGTTGATCGTGTCCAGTGGAAAGATAAGAGTTGTGAGGTGGAAACGAGCTGCTTCTAAGCTGAGATACTCGGGATTCTTTTTCTTTCTAGAGCGCGGGATTTTAGGTGCTTAGTCATGAATTCCGTAGATTAGTCATCGCGTCCAGATCTCCACCATTTGGGAGTATAAAAGTCCTCTGATTCTTTTAGAAAGTAGGTTTGGAATTCTATGCTCTCATAACTTCATTAATTAATAGCATTGATCGTATTTGAAGGTATTTATACCTTACTCCTATACATTTATCGTGTTATAGGCTGAGAGCAATTCAGCCGGCCATGTATCATCGACCCTAACTTCAAAATTATGGTATATCCCCCAGAAACATGCAAGAAAAATCAGATCCCCGCGCTATGCAAAAGAAGTAAAGAAGAGGCTGCTAAGAGAACCACCACAAAGTTGGATCATGCAGCAGCAAAATGGAGCAGAGAAGAGTTACCAACCACCACCGATCTTCCCTGCAAGCTCCACAACCCGACTTGTATCATTAGCAGGTGTTTGATCCTTGCCAACATCACTTTCGACCTTGCGATATGTAGTATAGACGAGCTTGGAGATGGGGATATTCATATATTCTGACCAGGACCGCAAGCCTTCATGAATTTTAGCCTCCTTGTCAGCCAACGAGAACAGCTGGGACTGAGTCTCCAGCTCAGTCTCAGACTCAGATTCCATGGAATAATAAGCCTCGTCGACGCGAGCAAGCCACGCGCGCTGCTCATGTGGTGATGGTTTCATAGATACGTCTAGTGCTTCTCCTTGGGAAATACCAAGGGTTTCTCTGGCGTCCTCGACTCGGATCTGGCCACCGCCATTCGTGCACCCACCAGGACAAGCCATGACCTCCACATAAGCGTAGTCTGATCCAGAGCTGCTTGTGGACACGGCGTTACGAGATATAGGCTGGCGCCGCCCTGCGGCGGGTCTAGCGACAGGTCTGGCGGCAGGTTTTGCGCCAGGAAGCCTCGACACACGGGCGGGCTTGAGTTTCCGAACAAGGTTTTGGATATTTCGGAAACCGTAATAGCGAGCTGCTTTCAAAATTGTTTGGCCCTCTTGAGACATGAGCACGTACTCGACGACATCGACATTGCGTCCGCGGTTGATCACAAGTTTGCTGCCTGAATTGCGAGCTTGGAAAGTCATGAGAACCTGATGTAGGTAGCCTCCAGAGGTACCTGCAGCAAGAGTTTGTTCCGCCCGAGAGCGCTTGAGGGAAAGGAGAGAACCGAGAGTTTTTTCAGGGAAGGGCGGTGTGAAAGACAAAGGCAGAGGTTGCAAAGGCAGGTTTGACAGTGAGAACCCTCGAGACGAAGCTAGGGATAGAAGCTCACGTGCAGTGATAACACAGTCTACGTCGCGAACCGGCTGTGTCTCAGAGCTCGTGGAATCTCCCTGTCGCCACGACACATCTGTGAGTTCTTCTCGACTGGCTTCTAGTTTCTTGTCAAAGCAGGGCATGACTGCTAAATGCCAAATCCGCGAAGGGTGGACCCCGAGGGACTTGCTCAAAACGGTTTTGAGGAATGTCCCCGATAGAGCCTGCGGGGACTTGAGTCGAGAAAGGTGTGGAAGGATAAATGGGTGAGTCTTTTCAGCGTAGCAAATCCATCCAGGACATGCTGAGGATAAAATAGGTCGTTTGGGGAGAGAGTCATCCGACTGGCCCGCGGTTGTTGAGTCCTCTGAGTTGAGGGAGTCCGAAACCTCGTCTGCAGTGAGCACTAACACAGCCTCTCGCATGGCATTGGTGTCGACAACCCATGTAAATCCATTGCCGTATGTACCCCCACTCCGCAAGCCCTGCGGGCCACTAAGTAATTGGTTGATCATGTACCCCGCTTCTTTCTCCGAAATCCCATATGTTGTGGCGATACTAGCCCTGACTTGCGGGCTGACACTGGCCACGAAGATCTTGCCCTCTCCAGAATCCTCGGTATTATTGACTATCACCCCATGATGCTCATGCTTCAAGGGAATCTCCGGATGCGCGTCAAGTGTATTGAGGACCTCTGCGTGAGACTGGAGTGATATCAACACTGCTTCGGCAGATGTAACACAGCCAGAGCAAGCGAGACAGTCTGTCAAAGAAATCTGTGCGGGGGGTAGATCCTCGGGCTGGACTTTGTCTTCCGTTGTTACTTCATAGGCGTCCTATAATTAGAGAATTAGTAAAAGAAACTCAAATACCACGCAGTTCCAATGAGATAAATGAGTGGACATACTTCTTGATTCTTTGTATCCTTTGGTGGAAGGGTTTCAACTGGTTTGATACACGCGACCCCGGGCGAAATGAAATCATTCAGATCGTCTGCTGACAGGATCGCGCTCATTGTGGCGGAGTACGCTTTCGGCGGCCGTGAATGCACAGAAAGAAATGACTAAATTTAGCCAATTTGATTGCAAGGAGTAATGAGAATCAATAAAGAGATCGAAACCTTGGAGGATCAAAATAGTTCTTCAAGAGGGCGAATAGTTAAGCCAACGGCGTTGCATGCTTTGTCATGGTGGCGAGATCGGAGATGATCTCACCGCCTTATGCGGGCTGCACTTGCCTTGATTGGTCAGATTGGAACTATGCACGTGACCTGCTTGATGTTTCTTTCAACTTCGACATTCTGTGAGAGTTGCGACTCTTTGTGTTCTCTTATCCTTTCAGTTCTCTTATTCTTTCAGTTAATACTATGTATATAGGTAACTCTACTAGCTTACATGTAGTCAATGAATAAGTAAATACAGTCCATAAAGAGCTACTGGAATGCTCTTCTTCATCAAATTATCAACTTCCCTACTGTTTTTCTATCATTAGGCCATGCGAGCGCCTGTCCAGTCCGATACCTCCAGATCGACACAGTCCAAACGATCAATAGGTACCCTGTACGCCAATCAATCACCCACAAGCAAAAGCAACTGCAGCAGTAGCGGCCTCACTAGAGCGATGAGTGACGTTGGTGTTGATGTTGACACTGGCGACCTTAACACGCCGCCCGTCACTATAGTCGGCTTTTCAGATTTCGTGGCAAGTCAGCCTGGTGTACTTGAAGAGCAAGATAAGGTCGACACGTCTCCCCTGGCTGGGAAACGCCCTCCTAGTACTCATGGAAACAAGGGAAGTGGAGTGAATAAGGTTTCGCGCGATGAAATGTGGCAGGTCATTACAACAACAACGAAAGCCGCGATAGGAATTCTGCACAAAACAGAATTGGAGGGAACTAAGTTTGCGTATCTGGCGAACATATTTAACGCTCCAGTCCTAGGCCTTAAGGCCCCTAACCTCAGGGAGTATCCAAACCTAACCACTGTGGTTAGGGTCGAGGCGGGAGACACATATGACCAAGCCCTCAAGATACACAATGCTGGCAGCACCATCGATCTAATGCCAGTATGTGTTCTTAGCTTTGCCAATGGTGAAATGCCCGGTGGGGGCTGGCTCAACGGTGCTCGAGCCCAGGAGGAACAGCTCTGCTACCGAAGCACACTCGTTTACACTCTCCACCCTCGGTTCTACCCAATGCAAGATCATGAGTGCGTCTATTCACCCAATGTGATCATTTTCAGAGATAGCGCGGATACCGGATATAGCTTCATGTCGGCGGATGACAAGCTACACATGAACCCAACTGTCAGTGTTGTCAGCATGGCAGCGCGAAGCAGACCTCAATTGACCGCCGACCAATCCACGTACAAGGACGTGGCACAGCGATATCTTATGAAAGCGAAGATGCAATTGATTCTACGCACGGCAGCACACAACAATCACCGCCGCTTGGTTCTCGGCGCCCTTGGTTGTGGCGCGTTTCGTCATCCCCCTCAGGAGGTAGCCGACTGCTGGAAAGAAGTTCTCATGGATGGAGAATTCAGTGGATGGTTTGAGTTGATTCACTTTGCAATCAGAGACTCAAACGCTGAGAATAATCTTGCAATTTTCACAGAGACATTGGATGGTTTGAACATGGGATAGGTTTAATTCCATTTATCTGTGTTAGCTTCTTCCACTTGGGAGAAGTTTGGGGTCTTCTTAGACAGGCGCAAATTAAACAAGAATCTTCTAGTCAAGTTGTGTGTTAAAGAAGTGGCATTGACAGTACGGAATAAAGCGAGAGTAAACCCAAATTTAAAATACTGCCTGGCAATATTAATCAATGGGAGGGCCATGCTCCGTGTCACGATATACTTATAGATCGCCAGTACTTGACTTCATACACCTCACTTAGATGTACGTGTAGATCGTCTCCTGCCAGCAACGGCGGGCTTTACCTTCTCCTCCTCAGAGCACTCACTCTTTATAGTGGGGTTCTTTTGTTTTGGGGCTCCTCGCTTCTTTGTCTGTGTCGTTTCTTCCGCTTCGGACTCGCTTTCTTTCTTTAGAGCCACACGCTTCCGTTTTGAATTGGCCGGTGCGGATTTTGCAGCGTCTTCATCAATATCTTTGCCGACAGGGCCAGTCTTCTTCTGGACAGCTGGAACGACAGCACTTGTTCGTCCTCCAACGGTAAGGAACGTGATTTTATCCCCATTCGGTAGGGCGGCGGGCTGGTTCTTCTTCCCCTTTCCCCAGCGGTGTTTGAAAAGCCAGTTCTCGGGAAACTTCTCTGAATCCGCTAGCACACCAATAGATGTAGAGCATACATAATGAATGGCAGAGTGCAGCGCCTTGATCTGATCAGCATTCAAAGTGTTGCTGTATTGCTCTGGGTGTATCTTGGCATGATAGAGAATCTCGTCGCTTAATATAATTAGCTTATTTCATGGCTTTTGTTTACCTGGAAGACCTACCCCATCCAATTTCCGATTCCACTGATATTCGCCTGGTCGAGCAGAAAGGCCTTGATCGGCACTTTCTTCTTCCCCAGCTTCTCTGTCAACCATGCTTCATTCACGGTGTCTTTATCGGCAACCGGATCAGGCCCATTTTCTTTGAGCGGCGTATGATTGCGGATCTCATCAGCGGGACAATCCACCAGTCTAATGCGACTAAGCCTGCGGGCATCCACAAATGCTGCCTCTGTTTTCGGCTCGTCGCTTGTCTCCAGAAGGAACTTCCAATATTTAGGAGGCCACTCCTGATCTGCCGGCTTGTCGGTTCGATAGTAGTATGTGTCGGCATCCTTGATCTTCAACCAACCAGACATCCCAAAGTGCATCACAGCGTGTGGTGGTGAAGACATTGTGAGCCAGAAATATTTTCCTTGTTGGCCTGCTCCCACAATCCTTTTCCCTTGCATTGCAGTTTGAAATTCGGAGGCACTAGTGCCAACTTTGCCAAATATAATATCATCATGTTGGGCTTGGACTTTAGACAGTGTTTTTCCAACCAGGTGCTCACGAATGAAATGCACAATGCGGTAGACCTCTGCTAGTTCAGGCATTTTGGTATGATGCTTCCAGTTTCAGTAGTAAAAGCATGCAATAAATGAATTCAAAGGCAAATACAAGTGCTTTTTTCCCGAAAGACGATCTGGCATAAGCAGACGCGATGCTCCTAAACGCGGGTCGCGTTGTCACGTGCATATAGTTGAACAGGCTAGTCCTAAAACGGACTGGTGCTTAAGGCTTGATTACGGCATGACGACGGTGGTTGACGGAGACCTTGCTCGGGCTATTCATGAATGTTACCAACAACTAGTATCAGTTCGTTATTCTGCTCATTGCAGTCTATACTAGGCCTCAGTGAGATATATTCAGCATCACAAGTATCAAAGATACGCTTATAACGCCATTGGACGACCTACCTTCATCAAATACGCCTACTCACATCCTTACTACAAACTGGAGTGGTTTTGGGCCAAGCCGAATCGAGAAGCTGGCGAGCAAACTGGTAGGAGCATGTCGCAACCCTCATCTACAGCTCCTCCGGCGCTGACGCCTCGGTTCTGTTTTGACGAGAGACTACTCAGAGGTTCGTTCGAAATATGACATCTTGATACCGGCTTATATTGACTTTACTATTTCCTCTTTCTGTTCAGATTTTCTCCGACTTTCAAGATCTACGATCGATGACTCGATTACACAGAACTTGAACGCGTTGATTACACCAGCCCAGAGAGGATTTGACCCAGCATCAACAGCGGTGCGACAACCCGAGTCTGGCTCTCGGATCAACTCCGCAGCGTGTCAGAACTTCAAAGATAATGTGTTATTCCCGTCATGGCAAACGAGATCAGACGTTCTCACTTACTGTGCTGGTGTGGCTACGAGTCCGGATCCCGACGATCCCGACTTGATTCTTCGGCAGACAGAATCCGCCCGAGACCGGGAACGAGAAGTTGATGAGCGTCTGGATCCCTACTCCGCTCGTTTCTTCCCACGTGAACCACGGACTGAGTCATTGGCCAATTTAATTCGCAATGAGCGCACGGTCGAAGAGATCGTTCGGGCCCGAACGTGGGGGATGGTGTCAGAAAAATGCAGTGGATCTTCTTCTACTTGGGAAGAAGCTCTCAATACCTGGCGCCATTCCCATCAGAAATGAATTTTCCAGCAGGAGCGTGCCGCAGTATACTAGGATCACTATATAACTCAACTCTTCTTTAGACTCGGGAAGGCCTCATCCCAAATTGTACAGATTTGCACAGATCCGACATGATCATATCCGTTTATTTGCATCTTCACTTTGCTTGCAGTAGAATACATTACTTTAAGAAACTGAGGAATCCTTTCTAGCTCAAACTTTTTGTGCTCTTAAGACAGTGAAAATTTGCACTACAGTACATAACAAACCACGTGCGCATCACGAGATGTGCATTTTGCCCCCTATTGACTTCAGGTATATATGGTCAATAGTTATACGTATTCAACCTGGTTTACAACCAAAATTTTACTTGTGAAGAAGTCGGCTGCTCGCTATCTTATCGGACCATTAGCTCTGCCAAGATCGGACTCGGAGAGGTCGTCCCCCGCACACATCGATTCCTCACTCGCACAAGTCAGGTCCCTCGACGTCAGCATCGCCCACAATGCCGGAAACATTGAGCACCAAGGACCATTCCTTGTTTCGTCAAGTGGTTCACCACTTTGAGATGAAACAGTATAAGAAAGGTTGGCCTCCGAAACGACCCTGAACTACCTAGGCTTGTCTAACCACGTTTTACTTTACAGGTATCAAAATAGCAGACCAGGTTCTTCGCAAAAATCCGAAACATGGCGACACGCAAGCCATGAAGGCTTTGAATATGAGCCAGATAGGGCAATTGGAGGACGCCTTTGCGCTTGCTAAGAAGGCTCTCCAGAATGATATGAAGTCGCATATCACCTGGCACGTGTATGGGTTGCTCTTACGCCAGGAGAAGAACTACGAGGAGGCCATCAAAGCATACCGATTCGCCCTGCGTCTGGAGCCCGAATCGCAACCAATTCAGCGTGATCTGGCACTGCTCCAGATGCAGATGCGGGACTACCAAGGATACATTCGGAGCCGCAGTGCGATGCTGCAAACTCGTCCGGGCTTCCGCCAGAACTGGACGGCGCTCGCTATCGCCCATCACTTGGCCGGGGATTTGGCAGAGGCCGAGAAAGTTCTGACTACCTACGAGGACACATTGAAGGGTGCCATACCACATGTCGCTGATATGGAGAACTCGGAGGCCACCTTGTACAAGAACACGATCATTGCTGAGACTGGAAACCTCGAAAGAGCTCTAGAGCACCTTGAGGCTGTTGGATACCGATGCACCGATGTGCTCGCAGTCATGGAGATGAAGGCCGATTACCTTTTGCGACTGGACCGCAAGGCGGAGGCGGAGGGCGCATATACAGCTCTCCTAGAGCGCAACCCGGACAACTCGATTTACTACAATGGGTTGATCAAGGCAAAGGATATCCCCGAAAGCGACCACAAGGCATTGAAAGCTCTATACGATGAGTGGGTGAAGAAGAATCCCCGCTGTGATGCTGCTCGTCGCATTCCTCTCGATTTCTTAGAAGGAGACGATTTCAAGCAGGCTGCTGACATCTATCTGCAGCGCATGCTGAAGAAGGGTGTTCCTTCATTATTCGTGAACATCAAGCAGCTTTACGTTAACCCAGCCAAGCGTGATGTAGTACAGGAATTGGTGGAGGGATATCTCTCCGAAAAGACAGCAAATGGATCCGCGGAGTCGAACGGGGACAACAACGAGTTCCTGCCATGCACATACTACTTCCTGGCTCAACACTACAACTATCACCTCAGCCGCAACCTCCCCAAGGCTATGGAAAACGTTGAGAAGGCAATTGAACTGTCGCCGAAGTCTGTAGAATATCAGATGACCAAGGCGCGAATCTGGAAGCACTACGGGAACCCAGAGAAGGCAGCAGAAGAAATGGAGAAGGCTCGACTGCTAGACGAGAAGGATCGTCATATCAACACCAAGGCGGCCAAATACGTGCTCCGAAACAACGATAACGAGAAGGCTCTAGACCTCATGAGCAAATTCACTCGCAACGAGACCGTCGGTGGCACATTGGGTGATCTCCATGAGATGCAATGCACCTGGTTCTTGACCGAGGACGCCGAGGCGTTTCTCCGACAGAAGAAGCTTGGTCTTGCCCTGAAGCGCTTCCACTCGGTTTTTGGCATCTTTGATACGTGGCAGGAAGATCAGTTCGACTTCCACGGCTTCTCTCTCCGCAAGGGAATGATCAGGGCCTACGTGGACATGGTGCGCTGGGAAGACCGCCTGCGTGAGCATCCCTTTTATACAAGAATGGCTCTCGGTGCCGTCCAGGCCCACCTACTTCTTCATGACCAGCCGGACCTCGTGCATGGACCGATGCCTAGCGGAATTAATGGGATCGATTCTACCGATGAGAACCAGAGGAAGAAGGCTCTCAAGAAGGCCAAGAAGGAGCAGCAGCGCTTGGAAAAGATCGAATCCGACAAGCGTGCAGCAAGGAAGGCAGCTGCCGCTAATGCCAAGGGTGCCGACGGGGAGACCAAAAAGGAGGATACCGATCCTCTGGGCAACGCCTTAGTCCAGACTCAGGATCCCATGAAGGATGCCATGAAGTTCCTGACGCCGTTGCTTGATTCAAGCCCTCAGAACATCGAAGCCCAGTGCCTCGGGTTTGAGGTTTACTCTAGAAGGAGTGAGTTGATATGGTAGATTCTAATACCGGACGGGACCCTCATGCTAATACGATTATAGACAAGCACCTCCTCGCCGTCAAGTGCCTTGTGGCCGCCCATTCCATCGATCCCTCCAACCCCACTCTCCACCTTCAATTGCTTCGCTTCCGCAAGTCTCTTGAGAGCCTTGCCGAGCCTCTTCCCGAACAGGTCGCCGAGGTTGTCAATGCCGAATTTGACAAGCTGCTTCCAAAGACCCAGAAACTCGACGAGTGGAACGAGTCTTACCTCTCGGCTAACAAGGGCAGTGTGGCACACGTGCAGGCCGGTTTGTCTGCCCGTCAACTCCTGAACCCTGAATCCAAGCCGCAGTGCGAACAAGATCTGCTTGCTACCCTCGATTCCCCCGATATCACTATTGACGAGGCTGTCACTGCCTTGGACATTTTGAACAAGTGGGGCAGTGATAAGACTGCTTACGCCGAGAAGGCGAGCAAGAAGTGGCCCGAGTCTTCGGTCTTTAAGCTGAACTGATTTGATACGAATGGAGAACCGTGTGGACTCCCACCCCCATCCCCGCTTCGATCATGAGTTGCCTAGCTGCCTAGCAATATAAGGAGTTAGGACAACAAAATAAGGTTACAGACATAGAGAAAGACACGGGATGAGCAAATATACTCTGGTATTGGCCGATGCTAAGTGCAGTGAGTATACAGGTGCTGGGAGAATCCAATGTACCAGTACAATCAAGCCAGGGCTAATCGTAGATTAATCTACTCCAAAATTCAAAATCACTGTTTCTATCAATGTACATTTCTAAAATCGGACCTTCAAACGCCTTATTATACAAGCCGAGGAGGGAGTCACAATATGCTAAACAAAAAGACCAACACATGCCGTGCTGAATGCCAGGGAAGAATCCATCCCGTAACCGTTATAGTATATAACATAATTTCAAATTGTGAAGATCAGACAGAAGACGTCTGAATATCTCTTCACTGTTCGTCTTCTCCGTCGATGTTACCCAAAATGGGCTTACGTCTCAGGACCTCGTCACTCTCGCCGTAGCCGTAATCGATCCACATGCGCTTCCAGAAAGGCACGTGAGCCGGTCGCTCTTCGCCAAGAATGTATTCCTGTTGCTCGGCGATGCGTTGAGAGCGCGCCTCATCTTCTTGGGAAAGGGTGGCGCGCTGCATGCGCGAGGCAATGCGCGGATCAAGCACGATATCGTCGAGCCACTCGCGTTCCTTCACGTTCTCGTCTTCATCGCGCTTGTGCACAGACTTGTGCCACTCAATTTCAGCAGCCTCCATTACGGTCTGCTGCTCATAGTTGCGAGGGGGGAGGTCGGTGAACGAGCTGTCAAGAGAAAGTGTGGATTCGCTGGCGGGAGTAGACTCGGAATCTGCGATAAAGGTGTCTTCGCGGTATGGCCGTGCGCTATTCGCGAGGACGAGTGCGGCAACATCGCGCCCGACGTCCTCGGCAAGGTAACGTTGTGTGAGAAAGCGGTAGATTCGGATCGGGGTGTTCAGGAAGCCAAGGAGATGGGGAAATTCAACTGGGGTGGAGCTGTCGAAGGACTGGGGGATGGTGTTGGGGAGGGTGGCGGAGGAGTATTCGCTGGGGTAGATGTATGCAGGAGTAGGACCAGCTGGCTTGGCAGGCTTCTCTTCTTCTTTCTTCTCTTCCTTCTCGGGTTCCTCGATCTTAGGCGCTGGGATCTCGTCCTTTTTCTCTTCGGAGAACTCGGGGGAATCGATGCTCGCAATCTCAGGGACCGCGAGACTAGCGGGTTTCTCTGCACTGACGTCCTGCGATAGATCCACGCTCAACTCCTCCGCAGGCGGAAGCGGCGCATCCAAGGGCCCGAGCCAACCCTCATGCAAGCCCCGGATATACTCCTTCCAGGTGTGCCGGCCGATGATCAAGTCGCCCTTGGGGCCCGGTTCGTCAGTGACCCCAATGTGTGCCCGGGTAGCAGCAACGACTGCATCCACGCCGACCTCTTCGGGCGCTGAGCTGGGCTCTCCGGCCTTTCGGCGTAGCTTGCGAATGTTTTCCGCCGTGTTGAATCTCACGTCGCCCTCACGTCGCCCTTCGACCACTGTGTAATCCAGCGCCGCGGCCACTAGGATGGGCTTGACATATTCCTTGAAGTGATCCCGAGCCACACGAAGACCATCTCCCGGTGGCGCAGCAAGATATACCGTCATCTTCCGGCGCATTTGGTCGACTGGCAGAGTTTCTTTCGAAATGTGGGCCACGAGCTCCGACCACTTTTGTTGCACGCGACGCTTCTCCCGACGATCGTATATAAGAGCACCAGCGAATGATCCAGTGATAGTAAAGAAGATCATCCAGTTGCGAGAGGGCAGTTTGAACCGCATATTAGGAAGACCTATTAATCACAGCAGTATTAGCATTTTTACCACTCGAATCTGGGGAACAGAGACATACCCATCATTTTGAATACTGGGTTAGGCGGCTTCGGGGCCACCGGGGGCTTGCCAGCGCCCTCGGGCGCGGCAGAGCTCGAGGAATCTGCCATTGGGCTGTATGATGGAGAAATGGCTTATACGTATAAATAAAGTACACCCGGGCATGCTCGTTCGGGGAAAATTGTTGCCTCGGGATTACCTTATCCCGACTACACGTGACTTGGTATCAGACTCGGATCGTCGGGTCGCGACATGTGAAATGTAAATAAACGGCACGCTGTCACGTAACCTACCTTCAATGCCGCCGACATAAAAGACCCGTCTTTGCTCTTTATCACCGGCGAACGCCTTTACTCACATAATCTCGCAGCCTTTTTAGAAAGGTACTCCTGTACCTGGAGGGTCTCTGGTTTCTGGAGCGGCCCTTCCTAGAGTAAATCAAGCTCCTCGATTGCCGCTTAAAAGCCCAATCGTGCCAGTCTTATAACCTATTTAATGCGCCTATACAATGAGAATAACATATATAATGTAAAGCTACGTGTTATTCGATGTTCTCTGTTTCTGTTTTTTTATCAGAGAAATCGAGTGTAAATGTCAACGGGGCATATTAGAAACTGCTCTGAAAAGAAATGTCGTTAGCATGCTTTATAACTCGAGAGGCCTGATACCAGTTGAGAAAACTCCGAAAATCTTTCTATAACGAAAAGAAAATCGGTGAGTATTGGTGGTGGTATATATACTACTTCGGCCCTAGCTTTCTTATTCAGTGTAGTAAAAAAGTAGGCAAAAAAATGTGAGAATTCTTTTAGTATAGTACTATCTCCCCTTAACTGATAGGTATATAGAAACAATTCCAGTTTCCCGCTAGATACTATGATTATATACACCCTGTATAGGAACCCTCCTACTGTAAAGCCTTATCCCGCCCTTAATGAGGCCGTGGTCCATTTGCTGATTATAGGTAAGTTTTCTGACAAGTTCTTACTATAAGACGTTTAAAAGTAGGGGGAATCCCCTGCCATAGAATATATTGTGCTTAAGGTATGGCGACCTTTTAGTACTGAAGCGGTCACTGAGGAGGCTCTCGTGAGCCTAAACGAATAAAAGGCTAACTCTGTAAATCGTATGCTAACTTTCGAACCCATTCGTGAACTCTGTAGTTCCCTCTTCTGCTGAATCATTTTGGCGTAGTATTACCCACGTAAATGCTTAAGGTCCTGGTGCTTTGTTGGTGAATAATAGGTTATTAGCCGCTAAAGTATATGTTTTAGTATGATCCCATTCCTACTCCTTGCTCGTCTTCTATGGCCCGATCAAACAAATCTTCGAAGTCGTTGCTACACCGAAAGACTGCAAGATTCCCCGCTGGATATAACTGAAGCGGTTGCGGCTTAAGCGAACTAGCGACTGCCCTGGAACGGCTCGCTGGTATGATCTTTTGGTCTAATTGTTAATTATAAGAAACGAGATTTTTATGATCCCTGTTTAAGTTTGGCAGTAATCAGTTATTAAAACCACCCTTTTCAGTTTGGTATCGCTGCCCTAGGCGGGGTACCTTTCTTCAAAATAGTCGTGTAGTCATATACCACGTCGGTTACATTCGGGATTTAAGGCACTATGTATTTTCTACCCCCTTTTCAGTGATAATCATGGCTAAGGCTTCCTGTCCACAGCTCCCTTCTTCCATACGGAGCATTCCCCCATACTGTGGCTGTGCTTAATATACTGACCAAAAATGCGAGCCTGAGCTATATCAGCCTCAGAACCAGATATATAAACCCTTTGTTTTCCCTTGTCTAATTCTTCCTTAGACCTCGGACGTAAGGAAGTCTATTCCTCACTCTTCAATGTGCTTCACACAATCCTCGGTTACCCTTAATCCACCACGACTTTCCTCGGTTGGTTCTTGTATTATTTTCCTGAAAGAAATACGCGCTAATCTGTCTTGCCTCGGTCTAGATTGTCAAGAATGTCAACATCCTCCAGCCTCAGAAAAGCCAAGTTGATGAGGCGCTGGAAAAAAGCCGGGATTATTGGTCTCACCTCGCATCACTAGCCTGCGCCTATCGGGATCATGGCTTGACTCCGGAGTATACAAACCCGCGCCTCATCCTCTATAGGATACCAAAATTCTAAGGCCGGCCTAGAAAAGTCCATGTTCGCCCTTATGGTGTCTCTCCAATTCCTGTGCTTTGTATGCAGGCCTCTTCTACTTGGAAATTGGTAGGAAACCCGAACTGCTATATGATCGAGAAAGAAATTACAAATTCTGCCCTACTGAAGATTGGTATCGGTGTTGCTACTTCTTACGGTCTTTGTGGGAGAATCTTCAGTTCTTGGATTGGTATAACAGAAGAGAGTCACGCCGGTCCCAATTATCTAGGGATTCTCACAGTTACATGGTGTTATATACTCTCTGCGCTGCTCGTTGAAATTCAAGGGGAGGGCGCTAGTACGTATTATACAATCTCTGAGACCGATAGTGAAACCCTCTCCGATCCCCTACAGATATATACCCTTGACGTTAGGGAAGCGAATGATAATATAGCTCGATGGTGGTATATGATACTCGTTTAATATAAAGGGTGGAGAGCGATAGTGAAATAAATTCCCGAAGGTAAATTCCTAGTACTATGGGCGGTATCCCGCACGTGTCAAACACACCTCAGAATCAAACAGAAGAGATACTCGCCGGCTTTAGCTTGCTCTCCTTTAACTTTAGAACAAGCCTTTGATACCCTTACTAAGTTTGCGTGTTTCCATGAACTGGGTAGCCAATCACCTATTACTCTTATGACAGCTATAACGTTTCTAATGCATTAACACTATGGCTCAACTATCTAACTACCATTTCTAATAGTCACTGGTGGTAAACTGCGCACGGTTCCTATTTCGTAGATATGGTTAAGTTTAATTAAAGACCTGCCCTACTATATGACCCTAAGCTGTAGTCCGGAAGTAGTGATATCGATTCTTTACAGATCATTCTAGGAACTTGAAGTAACTTATAATCTCTTTAACCCTTGGTTGTATCTAGTTCTTAACGAGATACTAAGTAGAACTTCTGGCACGTAACAATGATTACGAAATACTTGCTTTAATGGATGCAATATATTGACCAAATATTAGCGCTCACTGGATCGGGGTAGCGATAAGCGGGTTAGCCCTAAAAATCATTTAAAAGGTAAGAAGATAAGAAGAGGTAGGCCTCCTTTTGACGCACTTGCCTTTCCCTGGACTGGTTGTCCTTAAAGCTTTATAGATACTGTAGGCTTAGGTCCATATACTTGTGTGAATGCGGAATACATTTCAAGGCCAGACGTGTGGCGTTTTCTCCACCTCCCTCTAAACGAGGACGATGACTTATGCTATTGCAATAGATCCTATATACCCTGGGCACCCTGTAGGATCTCTAAAACAAAAGATTGCGCTCTTCGTGTGACTTCGTGTGACGATCTAGGCAGGAGCGACTTCCCTCGTTTCTTCCAAGAAGGGCAAACGAGCTTTTGCACTAGAAGTAAATAAGCAAATAGGAAGGATATAAGAAGGAGGAACGCCCTTGTAGATAGTTTTCCCTTTTCTTCTTCTCTCCTTATACTTAGAATTTTGATACAAATGCACTCTTTCCTTAAACGACTTGGTATATAATATAATTCTAAGTATCACTCTAAAATTCAACCTTAAACTATACAGTTATATAAGTAGTTATCACGACTAGCTCCAGCTCAGTTTATATCTTTAAACTTTTTCTTAATCATAATATAGCTCCTGAAACTAGAAGTTTAGTAAGCTGTAGAAAGCGACCTCTAGATACCCTAGAGGAAGAAGATACCAGCTAATAGGGACCTGTCACTCCTACCCCTAGCCCTTCGAATATAAATACTATCCTGATCGAGAGTATTAAGAGAGATAAAATATTGTACCCTAATAAAGAAATTTCTATTAATAAACTCCTAAAAAGAACCCTAAAGCTAGAACGATTTAATGCCTTAGCTAACTAGTATAGGCTTCTTAAAAAGGAAAAATAGAAGCTAAATACAGAGATCGCTGTCCTCTATAAGAAGGAGAGAGAGATAGTAACTACTATTAATAACCTAACTATTGAATAAAACGAAGCGATTACCTACTTAAGCCTTACTTAGTAAGAAAGAGACTGTTTTATATACTATCTCCTAAATAATATACCGACTACCTAATAAACCTTATCGAACTCTAGTATACCGATTATAGAAGCCTAAGTTAAGAGTACTAAGATACCTAATACTCCTATCCTAAAGGATAGAAAGGAAGTATAATTTAAGATTTAGGAAATAATTATCTGATAGAAACTTAAAGCTAATTCTAACTATTACCCCCTTCTAGTTTATTAAAAGATTTATATCTAGAGCTATTACGAGGGAAAGGCTTAACTCTATATTATACTAAGAATAAGTATAACCTTAAGTAATCTCTACCTTAACACTAAAGATATTATTACTTACCTCTAAACTATTTTTATAAATCCTAACTAAAAGACTAAGGTATATACTAACTACTATAAACTTTAGATAAAGCCCTATAATAACTTTACTAACTTTCTCGCAGAATTTATATAGCTCGCGGAGGAGGCTGTTATTATTAAAGAAAACTATAAATATAACCTTTACTTAAAGCTTCTGTACCTATTCTAGATATAAGTTATATAGGTAGTAAACTAGGACCTTATTAACTTTAATATATTCGTTTAAACCTATTATAGTATAGTATATAAAATCAGTCTATAATAAGAAAAGAAAACTATTAACTATACTTATACTACCCTAGCTATTAGAGGATCTAGAGGAAGAATATAAACTACTACTATAACCTATATCTCTTAAATTAAGAAAGAACTAAGTATAAGCTATACTAGTAATATAATAACTACAGAGAGAGAAGTATTAATAAATAAAGGAAAGTATTTCTACTATAAAGAAAAGGGATATATAACTTATAATTATCCTAAGAAGTAGGCTGTTATTACTATTATAGCTACTGCTAATATATATATACTAAGAGTTACTAATCTTAAAGAACTTAAAAGTAATAATTAGGGAAAAGCTACTACTTAGGGAAAGTCTTTATCCTAGGTAGTAAGGAAGTATTACTATATACTCTTAATCTATAGAAACTTTTAGGAAGTCTAGGAAATAGTTTAGTTTTTAATATAAACTTGATATATAATAGATATTCCTTTTTAATCGAAGTATTAGTAGATATAGGAATAGATAGATCTATCTTTATTAATACTACCCTTATTATATTACTTAGAAAGAAATTTGGTCTATATATATATAAGCTAAGTTAGAAGTACCTAGTTAGAGGATTCGATAGAAAATTAGTAAGTCTAATTACCTATACTATTATACTTATATTAAATATCGATAGAAAGATCTAATAATAAGTTCTAATACTAGTTATAGACTTAGGATAGTATAATTTAATACTAGGAAGAATGTAGTTTATAGAATATAATATTCTACTTAACTGTTATTATTATTAAATAATCTAGCTATAATAGGGAATACTTTTTAATAAAGTAATAAGTAAACTTACTATACTAATATCTACTTAGATTCTAAGAAGGAATAAGGTAATAAATAAAGATTACTAAGTAGATATTAAGAGATAAGACCACTTCTTTAATAAATCTTAATAAGATCTAGAAACCTAAAAGCCCTATCTATAAGCTTATATTTATTAGTATAGCCACTAGTAAGTTAAGGAGTAGTAGAAGATAGTATAGAACCTTAATAATAAAATACCCCCTATCTTAGTCTAATAGACTTAAGAAGAAGAACTAAGGGAGATATTCCTACTAATTAATATAAATATTATCGGTAGAGTAGGGTTTAATCGACTATATATAAAGATAAATACTGAAAAGGGAGTCGAAGTATTCTTAACTTCTCTTATAGAAATCGATTATATTATTAATATTAAATTAATAAGGGTATAGGATATAGAGATTAAAGAAATTAAAAGAACTCTTCTATAAGAATACTATAACCTTATAGAAGTCTTCTCTAAGCGAAAATCCGACGAACTTCTACCTTACTATATAGGGGTAGACTACGATATTATCCTTAAAGTAAAGGTATAGCTAGGATATTACCCTCTCTATAAGTTATTACTTAATAAGTTAAAAGCTACTAAGCAGTATATTATAGATAACCTTAAGAAGGGATTTATTATACCTAACTCTACCCCCTATACTTTACCTATTCTTATAGTAAAGAAGCCTAGAGGAGGTCTATAATTCTATATAGATTTCTAATAACTAAATAGTATTTTAAAGAAAGATTATTATTCTCTACCTCTAATTAATAAAGTATTATAAAGAACTAGTAAAGCTAAGTTCTTTATAAAGCTAGATATCTATTAAGGATTTTACTAAATCTAGTTAACTCTTAGAGTAGAAGATCTTATAACTTTCTATATATAATATAGATCTTTTAAATATAAGGTTATACCCTTTAGATTAATAAATAGGCTAATAACCTTCTAGTATTTTATAAATAATATATTCTAGGAATATATAGATAAGTATACTATAGTATTTATAGATAATATCCTTATCTATAGTAATACTATAGAGGAATATTAGATATATATTCGAGAAGTACTCTCCTAATTCTAGAAAGTAAGTCTATAGATTATATTATCTAAGTGTAAATTCTCTATAACTAAGACTAAGTTCTTAGGATTTATTGTTAGTATAGAAGGAATAGCTATTAATCCTAAAAAGATCTATATAATCTAGTAATAGAAGATACCTATAATAGTAAAGGGAGTCTAGTCTTTCCTTAGATTCTATAACTTCTATAGATAATTTATCTAAGGGTATAGCACTATTTCTAAGCCACTCTATTACCTAATTTAAAGAGATATAGTCTACTATTAGTTACTATAGTATAAAGATACTTTCTAAAAGTTAAAAAAAAGCTTAGTTAAGGCTCTAATCCTATACTATTATAATCTAAAACTCTATATCTAAGTAGAAACGGACGCTTTAAATAGAGTCTTAGGAGTAGTCCTAATATAGTACTATAATAATAACGACTTCTAGTATCCTATAGCTTTCTTCTTAAAAACGATATAAGCTACTGAACTTAACT